CAGTGCACATCTGGAGCCCTTTAAAATGCCCATTTTCACAGTACTTTGTACCATAGCTGCCACAGAATTTTATTTGACTCTTTACTGAAGGCCTGTGAACCAGAAAGTCTTGAACGGACACTAATAGTGAAATCTATGAAGCATTTAACGGGTGGATAGGAAAGAAAATTGAGAGAACTTTTTTTTCCTACATAGAAATGGACAAGATCTCTATTCTGTTGTTCAGGCAATTTCTCTACACAGGGATGTAAACCTCTCTCTGTTTTTATGGATTAAAAGATCCTGTGTACAGCAGCAGAATTCTTCAGTCCTCTGCTGGGTTACAACTTGTAAGGTAAATATTAGGTATAACACCCTTTTATCTTTGCATCATCTAGTCTCTCAAGTCTGAATCAAAGCCTAGGAAGCTGGCACCTCCTTTTATTGTTAATGTGGGAGTCCTGGTCTGGTGACAGCCTGTGTGGTCACAGGTCTTTGAACAGTGGGTGCTGCAGGGCCTGAGCAGCTGTGATTCTGGTGGCAGGGTTCAGGTCCAGCAGCTGGTCCAGAAGATCGTAGGCCTCATCAGGAACTCTGTCCCAGCCCCGCTCATCTTCCTCCACCTTGCGGCCGGTCTCTGAGCTCCGTTTAGCAAGGCGAGTGTTTGTTGTGCTCCCTGAATGTTCCCGGTGGTTTGGGTGAGTCTGACCTGCTCCATCTTTGTGTTGCTTGAATGTTCCCTCTGTGGGACGATGTGTAGGCGTATCATCTTGGATCTTGTGACAACCAGCGGTGGTGGTGGAGTCTTTGTTGGTTTCAGGAAGTGGTGTGACTTCATCTCCTGGTGACGGCTTCTGCCCTCTCAGCGTCTCACACAGCGTCCTGAGGTCCTGTCGAGGCAGCTCCCGACTGCACACCACTGCCTTACCTGATTGAGGTTCAACACAAAAACAGGTTCATTATCTGCACAGAGCCTTCCTCCCCTATGGCAGGACTCAGCAACCTTTACTTTCAAAAGAGCAATTTTTAGCAAAAAATAAAAATATGTCTGGAGGTGCAAACATGTTTGAGCCTTATAATGCTAATTTCCTTCTCCTTCCACAGATCAAGCATACCGGTAAGCCAGCAACAATGTTGGTCAAAGCAAACAACTCTGTCCACACACTACTAAATTCTCTTTTTTTCCTCTGAAACTTATTTTGGGTTTGAATCCATAACTAGCCCAACTAGGGAGCCTCAGGTCTCGTAGCCACCACTATTAATGTTCAGCAAAATATAGAGGAAAAGGCGCCACGTCAGGATGTTACATATGACACATTTTAGCTGACGAAAATGTATATCTATGGAGATAAACGGTGGATTAATCACAACACAGACGCAGAGGGATTGGTTTAAAGTATGTATACACACCAAATGCCTTGGCAGCCTGGATGGTCTCTCTGGAGCCGCGTATGGTCATGATCTGAGTGAGGGCGATCAGGTCATCGCTGGCTTTGAAGAAAGGATAACGGCCACTGAGCAGCGAGAGCAGGATCACACCAGCTGACCACATGTCTATGGCTGCAGGACAGGAAGATGAGGCAGGGGGAGGGTACAACAGTGCATATTAGTTTGTCTTTCTTCAGTTTAGGAAACCCATTACACGTGCCTGAAATACCTCTTACTCAGTGGAGGGAAACAAATTTTACTGAAGCATTATTTTGGGATGTCAATCAATCATGTGTAACAGCTATGGTTTGAGATACCAACCTGTTCCTTGGTTGGGACACTTTGTGAGGACTTCTGGTGCTCTGAAGCCCGGGGTCCCTGCCCTGGGAGCCACCTGCTGCTTCCTGGAAAAGAACACACAAATCAGTTAGAGAATAACAAAACTGAAATTAAATGGATCTCTTGTATAAAAGTGGTGTTAAATCATTGGTTTAAAAAAAAATAAAATAAAGAACAACAAGTTTCTTCCATCTCTATTTTCTGTTACCTGGACATGCAAATGTTGCAGACCCGGTCAGTCAGGTAGCAGTTACAGGTGAGGCCCTGCTGCACGGTCCTCTGAGGTTTCTGACTGCTGCTCTGGATCCTGACGGGTAGCGGGCCCCGGCTGGCTGAAGAGAACCTTCGACTGGCTGGATCCTCTGTTTTGCTGGGCTTCACCAGCTGAATACAAGATTGTATCAAGAAAAAATACAATAATTACACTGAGAAATAAACCTGCCAATGGGTGAAACTTATTTTTAATTTCAATGGTTTTGAGATATACTGTCTGCAGTAACAGAGATCACTCACTAGAACCAAGCCGAAATGTCAGACAAACATATCACCAGACTTAAAACAAAAAATGCTTTTGGGAATCAATACTACACTAAAATACTGCAATATTTGGTGTTATTACTCAGTGTTCTTATCCCCAATATTAAAAGAACAAGAGTGAAATCTCTTATTCTTCCAAAACTTTACTTTCCACCTCGCCTACCTCTGTCGTTATGGCAGCTGGTTTGGTGGCGGATGGAGCTGGAGCACAGCTGTTCAGGTTCCTCTCTCCAAACACAGGCCGTGGCACTTTGCGTAGTCTTGTCAAATCCTAGAGAAAACAAACATGGATATCTGAATTTAGCTAAAAAACTAGCTAAACAGGAAAGTAGAAGACAAACACAGAGACTTTAACATATCCATACAGGAAATTCTTAACCCAACTTCAAGCTTGTGATGCAAAATAAACCCTAATTGCACTAATTTACAATTCTTCTTTTACAATGCTTCCACCGAACAAAGAAAGAACCCAGAAACACCAGTAAAGGTAGAATATTGACACCTTTGTGTGCTTTGTGCGAGAGGTGGAGGTGGTGATGGTGGTGCTGACAGAACGTGCTTTCTTAACCAGTGCTTTCCGAGAGGCTGAGGAGGATGTGGTGGTGGTGGTGGAGGAAGAAGAGGAGGAAAGGGGCAAAGTCGCGGACTGTTGCGGGGGCAGAGGTAGTGAGGTTGAAGCTGCACTGGTTTTGGGAGGGAATTTAGGTGGTGCTTTGCTCCGCTGTGTGGTGTCTTGTTTCCCTGTGGACCCTCCACCTTTTTGCGATGGCCTCTGCCTCACCACCTTCAGCAGCTCGATCTGAGTGTCTGCTGTTCCCTGAGCCAAGCCGAAGTCCACCAGCGCATACCTGCACACATTTTAAACAGGGAAATTAGAATTAGTAGTAATGCTTTATGGAAACAACCCTGGAACTCCCATCAGATTACAAATTACACAGGGAGGTGAGAATTTCCCTGTTAACAGATTAAATTAATTAGGTTTTTGGTAACAAATCATCAGCAGAGTAAACGAAACAATCAGATGAAATTATGCAGCTGCACTTATTACAGAGGGATGTGATTACTCACACTTTGTTGCTCCTGTTGAAAAGGAAATTGTTTGGTTTGATGTCTCTGTGAATGATACCAAACTGGTGGATGTGTCTCAGTGCCTTCAACAGGTGATAGATGTACAGACGGACCTCTTCAAAGCTCAGTGAGCCAATGATGTCCTGATAAATACATTTTGATTGGATCATAGGTTTTCAATAACATTTCAGCAAACAAGGAAACAACAATTGCACCTAAGCTAATTAATGATCTATGTTTAGGGGATTACATTATAGATTGTGTCCATGAAAAACTCAGTAGGTCACATACCACAATAGCTTGATGCTCCATATAGGGCATGACAATCACCACATGGTCCTCCTTCCTGAAGCAGTACGTCACCCCTATCACGTTCTCTCTGCCTCTGTAAAAAGAGAAAAAAAAAAACCAAGACTCATTTCAACATGATGTGTGACTTCTCTGCAATGTAAATCTTGGCCTGTCACTTCCAAGAATCTTAGGGGAACACACAAACAAATGCACATTAATATATTCAAATGAGTGTCTTGCCAAACCAGTCCTCAATGTATTGAGATGCGTAGGTTCAGCTGAGTCATCTGTTAGACAAATGAGGAACCCACGCACCATTTTGCTACGGCATGAAAATAACTTAACGAAAGAGATGAAACAGTTTTTAAAAAAATGACTATAGTCTTACTATAGCCCTGTTTCCACCAAGCAGTCCAGTTCAGTTGGTTACACATTAGAACGGTTGTTTGTGTGTTTCCATTATCAAAAATAGTGGATGGTACAAACAGAAAGAGTCTATTCCATCCCAGTTTTACATTTTCCCCTCTGTTGAGGTACCTAGCACACTGAACCAGCACGGTGAGGTGGAGCTAGAAACACTGCAACCCACTGAGAGAATCGGAGCAACCACAGTCGTCTTGCCCTCTGATGTAGGATTTCCCACTCTCTCCTGTTTTTTTCAGCAGTCTTTTATCTTGCTGCCTGCAGCCTTTTCTCAACGTGTGTGTCCCAGGCTAATAAACAACCACATCTCGGGTATGCAAAGCAAGAAGCGCATGAGAGACCGAGTGGCAGAAGTGACGGTGAATGGAGCAGAGCAGAGGAATGAGTTAGCAGTAAGTTGTCAGCCTGGCAGTGAATGTGTGTAGTTACAGTGTGTCATTTAATAAATGCTCTAGTAACTAGACCAAGAAAAGGCTCTGTTGTTTCCCCAACTGCTGTTGAAGTGAGGAGGGTTAGCCCCAAAGCCCTAGTAACATTTAAGGGTATTGTCTTTGGTGGAAATGCTAGGGTTGAGGTACATATAGGTAAAAATTTCAAGGGTATTACACTCAAAGTATGGCTTATGTGTCAGCATGGTAACACGTCTGACTGCTGTACATACAGTAGGTCTCTAAGCGTTTTAAACAGCCAGATAACCCAAACAAGGACAAAGAATATCTGCAGAGCAGATAAAAAGCACACAAACATAAACCAGTAAAACATATAAATCCATTTTAAGATGTGATTAAAACAACAGTATTCTTACCCAGCAACAGTGAGACACTGAAGCTCGGCAGCGATGCGTGTGGGATGGCTGGTTGGGATGAGGTGCTTCAGGGCAAACATCTCTCTACTCCCATCCCGCATCTGAGCCTCGCCCAGATACACCGAGCTGAACGTACCTGAGGCACAGATACACAAATCATGAACACATCACCTCTTCTCTTCCAATAAGGTGAATGAGCGATTACCGTATTGATCTATAATTCTAAACTCTAAGGGTGTGGAAAACTTTATGCTAAGCATGTACCTTCTCCGATTTTGTCTATGATGCGGAAAACCTTGCCCAGCTGAGGGACAGCTTTGTAGAGAAACTCAATGTCTATCTCCACATCCCCTGGAAGAAAACAGAAAAAAAAACAGCTGTCATATATATATATATGTATATATACATATATATATATATAAAAATATAAAACACACTTTTTTAATATGATACCATATTTTCTCACACATTAAGACCAGCAAATGACAATATGTGTTATTTTTTTCCAAAATGTTCTAATATTACATTTGTACAAAATGTAAAATAAAGAAATCCACACATTGACAGTAAATAATACAATAACAGGGACCTGCAAATAATAATTCAGTACCCATCAACTATAATACACTCACATAATGGTGCATCTATAGTTCAATATTGTGTTATGTGTCCAACTTACTTGGCACTTTGCTTCTCTTGTGTCCTCTGTCAGATTTAATAATACATCCGTCTGTACTGATGCTTTCAGTGCAGAGAGGAGACAACTCCATCTAAAAGAAACAGGGGAAAAGACATTTAAAAGGCTGGACATTTGAATCACTAACAGTTTTCATCACATAGTCTATGTTTCCTTTAAACTATACTGCTGTATATATCTTTGTATTTACCTTTACACCATGCCATTGCCTCCTGCTGTGACCTGTGATCCTTATCAGTACAATTTGTCTATAAAAAGCTGTATATAGTGAACATATAACTCTTATTCTACGTGTTATAAGTTATGTCTTGTATTTGCTTATCTGTTGTGCTGTGTTGTATCTGGAGCAGTGTGGGATCGATGAAGTCTCTGTTATCTTATCAACGTCACATTAACTTTAGGAAGTCATGTTAAGTTGGACAGTGTGTGGAGAGTGAAGTTCACTTGATAGAGAGATTGATTATTGGTAAACTATGGGATTAAGTTGTCAGATGGATAGGAAATGTGTACAGCTAATAGTTTATCTTCCTCATTACAACAACACTAGCTGCTAGCTACTGTTAGCCACAGTGTGTCAGCTAACTAGAGTCAAACAATAAACTCACCGCTTTAGCTGGTCGTACCGTGCAATAGTCTCTCAAATTAATATTTAATAAACACGCCACAGTTATTAGCTAATTCTCCATCGGCAGAACCCTTAAATACATATATATATATATATATATAACTCTGTGGCTGATAGTGAACACAATCATTAGTTCAGAGGATCAAACTGTTCCGCCAACAAACTCCGCGCTAAAAGTGACGTCAGCGAGATCTCGCGTTACATCACACAAATCACGCGATATCAAGAGATCTCCAACCAAACCGGCCCAGAGCACATGGTCGGGAAGAAAGGGACTGTGGGATCAGAATATACGGAACATTAAAGCGGTGCCAACGTCCTCCTGTAACATAAAAGGGGGTTTATTCATAAAACATCCTCAAGTAGCTGATAACTGGGACAGAATTTAAAATAACAGGCCTGTCAGTCCCGACTTTAGGACTCAAGAGTTAAAGAGTAGTTCACAAAGCATTGACTCAGGAGTTAAAGAGTAGTTCACAAAAGCATGTGACTCAAAGTTAAAGAGAAATTCACAAAGCATTGACTCAGGAGTCAGTCACATGCTGCAGATTATCTGCCTCATTGCGTCAGTGTTTTAGAAAAACACAATAATGAATTTTTACTTTATATGAGCTCACCAACAAATCGAAACCATAAGATAGGAGTTTGCACAACTCCCCACTATTTGAACACTGGAAAAATGTGGTGATCCACATTTGATTGACAGAACATTAAGAGTAGATTAAATAATCACCATATACCTGTAGTATATGACCTAAATGTATTAACCTATAAAGGATGAAGATTTGTTCAGTCAAAAAAAAATATTTTGTATCATATATGAAATTTGTGACAATTTATTAAAAAAATTCTTCAAAACATAAAAAATCTAAATAACTTATTATAATAAATTAATTTAGTCGATTTAATTAATTCGATATTTCATTTCAATATAAACTTAACTCAATTATTGATTTTTTACATTTTTATTTTAATAAAGATTATACATATATTTTAGTCTAATCCAGCCAATTTGTTTTTCACACTTTTCTCTGTAGACATAAGGAGTAAATGAATATGACTTATTCACAGTCATATGAATAAGCTTCATTTATAAGTTCTCTCAATCCAATCAGTTAAAGTTGCTCCCAGTAGCTCTGTGAAAAGCTCTTAAAAGGAAACTCTTAGTTAACAACGTTTAGTACCATTTAGGAGGATTCCTAATGGTAAGATACAACATGTTATAAATACAGCTCCAGATCTGTATACAGCTGTGACAAATACATATACAGTATAGACAATAGCTCAAAGGATGCACCTCTCATCTATTTAAACACCTAAAATACTCACAAAGGTACTGATATTTAAACTATGAGCTGATTTACTCCCCAATACTGCACTGAATTATACAATAAACAGAGACTTTATTAAATAAATAAATTACATTGGTAACAATCAAAACTAGAACAGTGTTTCATTTACAATATGAATATATAATAAGATTACTTTTTTCGTCTTTTGATGTAAAGCTGACAGATTCACAAACGTGAACACAAACATAAATAAAACACTTTATGTTTAGAACGTATTAATTTAACAGTTAGACAAGCAGTACTTCTAAAATATACCATCAAATATCCCAACGAAAGCTTCCTCTTCTTTGCTGTTCGTGCTGAATATAAAAACAGGGGGAGGGTTAATCAGGTAAAAAAGTATTCTTTATGTATTCAATATAAAATTATTTTCATTGTACAAAGAAAATAATATTGTAATGAGTCAAATAAAAGCTTGTAATTATATTTTCCTCTACCATCTGTTGACAGACGAGCTGGTGTTGTCTGGGACGCTCATTGTTGAGAAGAAATCAAATCTTCTGGTAAGTGGGGCCACGCGGGTCTCTGTCTGTTTTGGGAGATGTTCTGGTGTTTTTACAGAGATCTGTTCACTGAAGATGTTTGGTCTCTGCACGAGGGAGAGAGGCGAGCGTCACATGTGCCATACACCATATACCCAGGTAAGATTTTAGAAAGGTTACAGGCACCTTTAATTTAAGCAGAGAGACAGTAACCCTTGTGCTATTAATAATAACTAAACAGAATATTCCTGTACATGAAGAGAAAATCCCATCAGAAAATAGCAACACTGATAGTAAATGCTGCTTTCTGCCATGTTTTCTGACATCTAGATGTATCCATACAGCAGACTGGCCTGTAATACTGTACATGGCCAGGCAGCTCCATTGTATGAGACACAGTATGAGATTTACTGGGTTAAACAAATCAAAAACAAGTGTACGTGAGTAACCACGTAAACAATATGAAAAACAGTGTTCTCCCTGCATGTAAATGTAGCCATGAAGCTGCAGAAATAGCACATACTCTGATCTCTGCATGCACACACACAAACACAAACACACACACACATACCTTTTTATTCCAGTCCAGTGTGATTCTGTTTTGTGCTCTCACTGTTACCGGTGAGGGTCCCATTTTTCGGATTTCAGGACCTAAAGCTGGTGAAGTCGACCTAAAATACAAAAATATGACAAATGTTTTCACGTTCTTAACTACAATAGGAAACGTTTCACATTTCACACTGTTTGAAACAAATAATACTGTATGTGCATAACTTTCTGGCCTTACCTCAGTGGTGTTCCAGCACTGGTTATACAGGGTTTGACTTGTGATACTGACACTGATGAAGCAGCTAAACCTACACATAAAACAAATGTATACATATCAAAATCATAATAACCAAAACAGGTTGATTACAATGACTTCTTGACTCTCAATCCACACACTGATTTCCAACCTGTGTCTCCTGAACAGAGAGAAGCTTAAACTTCACTCTACCTGGTGTGTTGTAGTCAACAGATGGCTGGACTTGAGGTTTAGCTGTACACGATGTCTCGCTGGCACGCACCAAGTTCTCATCATCAAAGTCGCCCCAGTCGTCCCATTCATTTCCAAGGTCAAAGCTGACAGTCGGTATTTGTGAGGATAAAATATTTTTGCAGTGAGCGCTCTGGTTCGATACAGCAGTGGACCTCTTTGAGTAAGCCCAGTTGGTTGTATTGATCTGGTTCAGTAGTGGTTTATGGTTCTGACTCACACCAACACTGATTCCTGGGTTCATCCACACTGAGGAACCTAAACACAGATTAATTAAATTAGAAGGTGGACTGTGTCATCAAATGTAACTGTACTTTGCAGACCATAATTGGTGACTTTGCATGTGTTCTACTATTAGCTAAAAACTTGAGTAGTGCTTCAGAGTAATTTTTATATACAATATTATCTCATTTATTGCTGAAATTACATAAACAAACTGTGTTGAAACATGTATTTCCATTTTTCCATGTAAAACATATTTTTCCATTCTGTATCTGTCAAGTTAATTTTGCTTTATTTACCTTATAAAGTTTAATTTTTTCCTCCTTCTACACAGTGTGGTCCATTAAATCTTGTCTATTAAATTATGTAGTGTCTTATCTTATTATGCTGAACTTGTTTTTTCAGGTATATATTTTTTACAACAAACTATTTTTAAGTTTAGTTTTAGTTTTTTAGTTTTTTTAGTTTTTCTGGTATTTTTTGGGGGGATTACTGAGGCATTGCTAATGTATTTTATACTGATTATGTATCCTATGTATTATCCTATCATGAATTGTACATATAATGAAGTCAGAATGTAGTAATAAATCTGGTGTCCAATGATATCCTGCTCTTTGTCATGTTGTTGGACATTTTCCTGATGAAGACCTGTTTTTTTAGTCTAACACAACTTTTTTGGGAGTTATAATCCAGCGTGTTGACACTTTTTTCCTTCATTGAATCTGTTGTGTTGCACCTGGCATAACAAGAGGATGGGATGTGCACCCAGCTACCTCTCCAGATGTGTACTGATATGCACGATGTGGTGTCCTCAGTGTGTGTGTGGAAGCAGGGTTGGTCTTTAGTTATTGCAACAATGAAAGTAATAAAAACAAACGTAATATGTTTATAAATGTAATATAAACATCCTGATACTATGAACTATGAATATTTATCACCTTTAAATTTTGTATCAAACATGATTTCTCTCTTTGTTCATTCATGCTTGTTGTTTATCTCCTGGGTTTGTTCCTCTGAGAACATGGATTATGAATGCAATGTGATGTGCTGTAAATGTATACAGCTGTATGTATATGTAAAGATGATTTACTGTTGGTTTACTGAACCGAGCTGACAACAATGGCTAAGTAATCAAACCTATATAGTATGCACTGAAAAATAACTGGTAGTATGTAAAGTATATGAGATTTGTAGTTAATGAGCTAAAACATTCAAAACCACCAGTATGGTCTGTCTAGTAATGAGTTTGAGTTAAGTTGTTTGATGTTACTTTGTTGGTGAGAATAAGACGCAGCAGGTGTTTGGATAGAGTCCTCCATCATCCTGCTCATGTCATAGTCATCATAATCTCAAAAAGAGAGAGAATGAACAGAGTGTTAGAGAGAAAAACACAGAAAGCATTTGATTGATAAACCCTGCAATGTGTTCATCTTCTTTATGCTGCTTGTTTACCACAGTCAACATCATCCAGATGAACTATGTCTGGCAGGTGAGGAGGGTCTTCTTCTGTGAGATCCACAGTCTCAGTGTGAGGTCTCACTGACGCTTCATAGTGACTCCCTCCATACCTTCATCACGTCAAATAATAGGACATGAATATAATTAAGCATCAGCCCGTCAAATTTATTTAAAACTAGGGTTATTTTCACAGATTTTACTGTCACATTTTTTAAGAATTTAATTTTGCAGCAGTTATTATGGGATCTATTCTGATATTGAATCAAAGTAAGTCTATGGGGAATACCTGGAAACAGTAGGAAGCCTCTCTTTGGGTTTGTAAGAAAACTCCTGCCTCATTTTCATCTTAAAACAATAAAACAAAACATCAAAAACAAACTCATTTAGCTTAGTAATACAGAAATAAAGGACACTTTTATTGTCTGTCAGAGAAAGATAGAAAAACACACATTGTATCTAATCTGCATATTCTACACCTAAATATTTGTGATTAATAGCTTTTTTTAAAGTACATATCTACATACCTAAACTATTTGGTATACACTGTATTTTTCGCACATACTTAATGCAAGCACAGTTTAATAGCATTTCCACATCCTAATAATATACAGTATAGGACCTGTATGTGTATAATTACATATATATTACATATATTGTGCCATTTACTTTTGCTGTTTCACATGCCTGGTATAGTTCTTGTTTTTCTTTGCAAGTTAACTTCGCTACTTGTGCCATTGACATTTCTTAACAATAGTGACTCGTCAGCTTTTTCTGCAGACTCAACATGAAGGTTTTTTTGAGAATTTATGTCTTATAGTCACTTTATGTCACAGAGAACTATTCATTGAACAGTGAAATCTCAATTCAACAACATTTAGTGTATACAGTGTGCGCAGGCTTGCATCTGTTTTGTTCCTCACCTTGAGTCGTTTGACAGGAGTCTGCGTGAGTGTGTCACACCTGCTCCTCAGGTCATTCAAATAGGAAGAGAAACTGCATTCTTGATTTGTTGACCTCTTCCGTGCCACAGTTACACCTACTTTACCTAAAAGGAGTAGGAGAACACACATATACACTCTGATTGACATAGTGGAGGAAGAAGACTTTGATAATGTTGACAGGCAATCAAAGTAATGCACAGGCAGACACGATAAGTGCACATAGAGTGAAAGATGTGACTGTACTTACAGCAGTCGTGGCCACAGAGATCCTTATTCTTGCAGAAGTGGTTGCACCGCCTTTTGTTGTCTAAATCTGATCACATTCGAATAGAGATTAAAAAAATCAAATATTAATCTGCCATTGAAGAAATACTATCTCAATACACACTATATCATATTTCAGCATTAATAAAGCTAAAGTGTAGTACCTGTGTCTGTAGTAGATGTTTCCCTCTGAGCTACAGCCTGATCTGTAGATTGTGGTTTCAGTGCAGAGGGCTGCGGTCTCTGTCCAGTATGATCATATGACACGTTGTATGGATCATCAGTTTCAACCCTTCTGCCTCTACTATAGTACACATTGAACTTCTGCTGGATGTCCAGGCCCACTGTAGGAGAGTAAAAAGGCTAAAATGTAAAGCAAATACACTCCCTACATATCACTGACAGGCAGTCAAGTCCAAGAGTTTATAGCCAGGATGTGCAAAAACAAAATGTACATTATATATAGAAGTATAACAACTCAAAAATCTATGTTTGGATTTTATTGATTTATATTGTTTAATACGGCAAAAATGCCTGCACATAGGCCCTATTTTCCCATTTTCAATGTATTACAATATTGATCTTTATAAAAATATAATAAATAATTGCATTATTTAGCTTGACAGACATTTTTTTCTCAGTGATATACTCTATATATAACAAATAGTGCTTTACAACACACTACCAGATGAGATAATTGTTGAACAAAAGGCATAGTGAATTTATAAATACAGAAAACCTGTACTGAACAACACATTATTATTCACTTCTATAATATACTGTAGGTGATATACAGGAGAACTGTACATACTGTGGTTACATTTCTATGTCAAATGGAAAGGTATTTTATGGTTTACCGTATTCAGAGCTGATGAGATTGACACTGATCTCCTCTCCTTTTGAGGCCTTTGTCACCTCAATTTTCTTCGACCAGCTACCACTCTTCAACAGCACAAAGTCCCTGGAAAACAAACAAGAGGATGCCTGCCGAGAGTCAATATACTATATGTTTTCAAATGATGTTCTGTCTTTGACACATAATGGTGTATAACAGTTAGAGAGGAGGAGCGGACAAGTGAAAGACAGCAGAGACAACACAAAATTGGTGGGACCCTGGGCCTGGGTTTTGTTTCTCACGTGAGTTTCTGTAGGAAGACCAAAGTATTGTCAGAGTTTCCGATGATCAGAGAGACATAGTGGTGGTCAGGGGCTGTTCTCCTGGACAGCAGCTGTGCTTGGTTTTTTAGGTTCACCTTCACCACAATCTCTGCTGTAGCACAGCTATACCTCGGAAGCTACAAAACACAGAAATAACTTTTAGAAAAACGATTAAGAATAACACGAATACAATAAAACCTTTGACCAACAAAAAGTAGTTTATGACGTAATATAACACACTTGACGCTTTGATAATAAAATTCTGCAACATCTTTTACCTGCTCCAAAGTAACTTCATACTTCGGGAGATGTATGACAGATTCTCTGATTTGGTTGCCAAATGGTGGGTGTCTGTTGAGAATCTGAATAACAGAAATAAAGTTAGTTATCTGAAAATCTTTTTGACATAATATTACCCAACCTATTTCAGGTCAGCAGTATCAGCTGTGACATATGGTGATTAAAGCTGAAGCATGAGAGCCTGGTCTCTACATTGCGACTGATCCAGCTCAAATAATGGTTAAATCAAATGCTTTGGATAATTAAAATGTATTTCCTTTGTAAATATTACGCAAACTGACCAGCTCAAGCTCTCTGGGGTGGGTTTGCTCTATCTTGCTGAAAGTGGTGAGTCCAGCGTTCACCATGGCAGTTGACAAAGTCTGGCCTGAAACACACAGTTTATTATCAAATGTTAGTATTTAGTTTGACACTGCATGTACATCTAATAGGAAGGAATTCATCAGGACCACTGAAATTCTATTTTAGCACTATATTTACATTGCTTAGATAAAAAGTGTGATACTATACGTCTGTATGTATGGAATGTGGACATAGCAATGCATCCACCTATCTTCTCCAGCTGTTTGGAAACATAGGGCGAGTTTTCCCAAAGCTTGGCTCTGAAGCACTTGGCCAGGATCAGGGAGTTGAGCAGAGCAGAAAAACCGGTCTTGGATCGCTGACTCAGAAACTCTGACAGGCCTGATTGGGATCAAAATACAATCAAGTTTTAAATATATATATAGTCAGGGAGCACTTAATTTATTTATCCCTCATTTACCCAACATACATCTGCTTATGCGCATCCCATTCCTGAAGATCTTTGCTGTGTCCTGGGTAAGTCCAAACTCTTGAATTGAGATGGAACCCAACTGAGCCTGAATCAAGCTAAAGACAAAGCAATAAACACATAATATTTATAGTGGTCAGTCCTTAAGAAATCTATAAAACAGTATTACTTTTATTTATTCCTGTTCAAGAAAAGCACTGAAAGAATAAATCTACCAGTTCACTTTCATCTCAGTGGTTTTGATCTTTCCATCAAGGGGAAACCTGGAAAAATACATAAACATCTCCTTTACAATGGCTTGTGTCTACCTCCACCATTATGTATTTCCAATCCAAAAGTTAAAATCAGGGCTTATGATATTTGTCAATCTTACAAATGTGTCTGACCTGATGGTGATCCTGTTCTTGTCCCTGTTCAAAGTGTTCAAAGGCCTCTTTTCATTCATTCTCAACTGAATGTCACTGAACTCTCTGCTCTTCGACACCAACTCAATCTGTGCATACAACCACTTTTAACCACTTCTGTTTGTATACTGCATCCAAATAATCAAAATGATTCCCTTATGCAGGAACCCAGCCTAACCACAAAATGTCACTATATCTGCACTGAAATCACAAACATTAGTGTTGTGCAGTCTTATCAGGAAACCTACCAGGTCAGACAGGTTCTCAGTGGCAGACACTTTGCAGAACTGTTTCATAGTGTCAAAGGCAACACAGTACCGCGCCATCGACCTGCCGGCCTCTATGAGGAACAAGAACAAACTATTTTACAGTTTTATTTCTTTAATATGTGGTTCAGGTGAAAACGAATCATTCACTAAACGTAAGATAAAAAAACTAAAGGGGAGCACATTAAGCTTCCTAACGACTTATTTCCTCTCTACCTGTTGGTTTGATGTTGATATCTTCATCCATGTCAATCAGACCAATGGAGGACAGAGAGTTGAGGTTCCTCAGACACAGTTCTATGAGTGACAAGAGAAACAGCAACCACCTCAAACTACAATAGTGGGGTAGTGTTAGTAATGTGTACAGTTAAGTACAGACAGAAGGGCAGCTTGGCTTCACTATAGGGGGTTAAATTCATCAATAGAGTCCTACTAATATCAACATGCTACTTTAGTGACTTCAGATAGAACAAAAACAGTTGTGGCCCACCTTGCAATTTTGCTTCGATTCCATATCTGTCTAAGTCAGCGGAGAAACCTGAAATTGAGGTTGAGGCACTGATTGGTTTAACATACAGTAAGAAAGAAGCTGGACACAAATGCGGGTCTGTGTGTTTGTGTGCTTTGAGCTCTGACCATAGTGTGTGGGGTTCTTGAGGGCTCTGATGTAGAGGAGGGTGGAACGTATCCAATCCAGAGCCATGTTGACATCGCTGATGGTTTGGAGAACAATCTCAGCATTCAGGTGCTCAACCAGGTGACTGTGTAAGCTGAGGAAAAGAAGTATACTGTTACCTTGTGTAATACTGTATAATCCCTCTCATATGAGAGAGCAAGAGTCCAAGAAAGACAGACTGAAAGAGAAAGAGAGAAGAAGAAAAAATCTCAAATGACTGAGCGGTAATACCTGCTCTCAATGATTTCCATCCCATTCATTAGATTCATGTACTTGTCTTTGGTTTGGCTCTTGGTCATAATCACTGCAGTCGCTGACGTGTCGAACTAGAGGAAGAAAGACATGTTATTTAGTTTGTGCCTCATACTACAAATAGCTGTTGCTACAACTACAAATGCTATTTCCATAACAGCATCAGATAACTGCAAGTTAATGGTAAACTTCCATAATTGCTTAAATCTGTTCCATGTTTTGCACCAACCAATACCATCTTGTGCTAACGGAGGTAAGAAAACTATTCATTTATAATTCTGCCATTACTTGTGGTCTTCCAGCTCGGCCTATCATCTGCAGCAAGTCGGCCTCGCTGTACTCCTCACAGGAGCCTGCCACATACTGCATGGTGGACTTGATCACCACCAGATGAGCTGGCAGGTTCACCCCCATGGCCAGAGTCCTGGTGGTAACTAGGGTATTAAAAATCAGACCACAAATTCAGAACCCATGAAATCCAATAAAATCTGATTTCAAATTGTGTGGTAAAGGTTTCTGATTGCTTTGCACTGAAGTGTGGTCAATTTTTCCTTATTTTCATAGATGCACCAACAACACAATTTCACAGTGTCATTAGTTACTTATGATAAGCACAAATCAGAATCCGTTTGCTTCTGCATTTCAGATTCCACTAGGAACTGGTGCATATCAGTCCAGTCAATGTGGGTAGGAAAATGACTAGAATAGGATATTTCCATTAAACAGACATTTACATAAGTTTTTTACATAAGCCTGGAGTTATAAAGCTTGTGCTGAGGCCTTGGCTATAAAATACTGTACGATTCAGTTGCTACAACCTGTAACTTGTCTTTCCTGTTTATGTCTGCAGCGTTACAAACAAAATAAAAACACAGGATCATGTTGCACACTTATATAGACACATATCCATTTACGGCACAACATAAAACTGTATTGGTGACAAAGTCTCACAGAGGACAGGCAGGTCTGCCAGAGTGAAGGCCTTTTCTATCAACTTCCTATCAGACAAATCAACTCCTGCATGGTGGTAACCAACCCCTAACATCACCAGATCTGGATCACAAACGAAACACAAAAAAATTGTTATACAGTTGATAATTAGAGCCACAATCAAATCAACATGTTTTTTACAGGGTCTTGCACTAAAACAGGTTCCAGATTCTGTATCTGGTCTTGACATTTCAGAAGACAACTCACCTCTTAGTTTTGAATCCAGAATAGAGTTTGCATATTTCATCAACCTAAACAGATTACAAAGCAACAAAAAGTAAAGAAGATCAAGCTTTCAGTGAAGTTAACTTAACTGAACAACAACAAAATGTTTTGATGAATAGTTGCATATGTGAGAACATGTAGGTGAGTAAGAAACATACCTTTGCTTGTGCTCAATGCTCATGATGAACCGAGCATCCTTGGCCAGAACTGTAGCTGACTGCTGGACTCCTTTCCTTGTAGAGCAAAACTACAGAATAACATGATTATTAGACCATGAAGTACTCTAATCCCACCATTAACTCTAAACCATGTTCAGGGACTTGAGAAAACAAAGAAGGAAAACAAATACACAAGCAGAAAAAGGACATACAGTTAGGCCTAGTTTTCCCACACACTCACCACCAGTGCAGGCTTCTGGTCAGAGTACGTTTGTATGATGTTGGCCATCTTGTAGTTGAGTGACAGGTCAAACTTGAACTCTGTTTGGTTAGGGCTGCAGGGGAATCCCAACACCACCTTCCTCAGCTTTACTGGACGGTGGCTCTCGTCCATGTCCAGATATGTGGCTGGACCACTCTCGTTAGACAGCCAGTCTGCTATCTAACAACCGGCAGACAAAACAATGATACAGTTCAATCACACAATTGTGTCTTTGCGTTACAGTGAAGTGATGCAGTGAAGTACCTTAATTTCTTATCTTAATTTTTCACTATTATGCTTTTTCTTACTCAATCACAATATAAAAGGACTCCAATTAACAGATTTAGGTTTTCAAAGTGATAGGTATGCCTACACAGGGGGGCTTCAAACTGTTTCAGTGAATGGAAGTGAAAAAATATTACATTACCTATTATATTAGCCATCAAAATGAAATCCCATAGAAAAACCTAAATGTATGTGATTTGGTGAGAGAGTAGAGATACAGTTTGGGGGAATTTTACTGTTTGTCCCACTTTGCCAAAGTCAAAACTAACAAATGTCTTAGACAGAACTTTTCATGTATTTGGTGCTGTCTGAAATTATGTCAAACAACAATATTATCTTATCTTGGCACAATTTTTGATTGTCTATGGGCTCAAATAACAAAATCATGATCCCATAGGCATAAGCAACTAAACTAAAGGGGAATTACTGAATTATTGTATGTCATTCTGAAGGATTTGTCCACACTGCCTTTTGAATTCTCCTGTCCTAAACTAATTACTGCTGAACTCTGTTCCACTTACATCAGAGACGTTGGGTATGGTGGCTGATACAGCCACAAACCTCATAGAGAGGCCTGTCTCTGGATTCTGTGCGGTCCTGTAGGCATGTACGGCCTTCATCCTGCTCACCACCACTTCCAGAGTGGCACCACGGGTCGCATCCTTCACCACATGCACCTGGGAGAACAACATTTGTCATCTTAAACTTGGCTTTAGAAACATCTTAAGGTTCAACACAGATGTTGGTATGTGGTAAAATAAAATGAAACTGTCCTTGATCACTGTATTCCATTATTAACATGAGGAGGTGCATCTCATGCATGGCAGATGGTATGCACTCTCATTCTACATAGGATCAGAACGTGATGTACTTTCATTTTTTAATAGCTAACCTCAGTTGAAAGAAAGCTGAGGGTAAAGGCTAACAATATGCAATGCAATGTGGCATAATTAAACACAATGGCACAGTGAGTATCCACCATTACGTAGGCACATTTTTAGAGACCGTAAACAAAATGTCTGACAAACACACTGACCTCATCAATAAGGAAGAGCCTGACTAGCTGCAAGAGACAGTTGTCCTTCCATTTTCTTGTCATGCTGTCCCATTTTTCCTGAGAAAATGATAAACACAACATGAACTATTCAAGTAAAACTTCAGGTCACAATTTTATTTGGATTATTCTCTTTCTTCTTTCTTCGTTTTTGTTGTGTCACACACACAGGTGTAGTCAGGATGATGTGGGAGTCCTGAATCTCAAAGAAGTCATCGATCTCTGTGTCGCCCGTCAGCTCCTTACAGCTCAGCCCCAGAGGACCAAACTTCTTCTTCCAGCTCTCAAAGCACTGACTGCAGAGAGCTTTGATAGGGGCCACTGGCAAGAACAAACAGTGAATCCCTTTTACAAGACAGTTCTCTGTACCTCAAAAAAACCCTAAATCTATAATTGAATCAAAAATCAAGACATGTTTAAAGCCCCAGTCAGTGTAAGATTACAGTCAGGTTTATAGTGTTGAAACACTTCACTGATTTTAAATTATAGTATTTCATAAGGTATAAGATTTCTTCCTCCTGATCAGCTCATACACTCAATATTAGTTTTACTTTCTAGATTTTATGCCATATATTTTCTGAAAGTAAGGAATTACTCTACTCAGACTGGAGCTTTATTGATATATTAATAGGGTCAACACAATATTATGCTCACTATAGACCGCTTTGACATCTCTCCAGGGCTCTGAGGTCTCCATTAGCAGACGAATTATGGCCAGCTCAAACAGCACTGTTTTACCAGATCCAGTAGGAGCACATGCCACAAAGTTCTTACCCGTGTAAAGAACCTGTGAACAAACCAAACATAAAAGCACTGCCAGGACTCACAGTTCAAGTTCACTTCTAACAGGTTCCAACAAGACAATGAAAACTATGATGTTATTCATGATCCTCGGCATTAGGTTTATAAAGACCTTAAAATAATGCTTACGTCATCAAGTGCTTTGGACTGAACGTAGTTGAAAAATGGGAACTCGCTGAAGACAGATCTGAACTTAGATGCTGTGTTAGCATGGTTCAGGAAATCAAACCACATCACTTGTGAAATTGCTTTCCAAGCAGTCTAGCACAGTTTAAACACAGTATAAACGTTCACTTACACAATAACAAAAAGGATACGGATTTCAGAAACTGGACGCAAAAGTCCAGACCCAGAAGACCCTAAAATGTGCACAATCAAAACAAAATATCACACATTCATTTACAGTCACACTCTCACGCTTTTTCCCACCTTGATGTTAATATGAAATGTTCCAACATTTCTGTAGGGGATAAATCAAGGGATTTTATTTTGTAGAGACTAGAAAGTAAAACTGCAGACTGTAGACTACATGTGATTACAAAGGTTTCTGCTGTTACTGTCTACAGTGTCTACTATTCACCACCTAGTGACCAGCATGTTTTATTACAATGGAGCGGTCAATGGGGGGAGCTCACCTCATTTCACCTCATCACACCCAAACACATTGTGGCAGCTGCTGCCAAGGCTAGACATGGGCATGCTCATTAGCTGCAACACTTTACAGAAGCTATATGAGTGTTATTCGGTAAATCAGTCATAGACTATGAGCACAGCGCCTGTCTGCGACTGTGTCAGTGCAGTGCAGCACCTTGTATGTGGAGCGGCTGAGGCGTCATGGGCGGAACGAAGGCTCTCTTTGTGCCCTTGTCCTGCATCTCTGCATGAGCCGCCTGCTGCGGGGGTCGGCCGCTCGCTGCAGATGAGCCCAGAGGGGGGGGGGTTGAGAAGGGGGGCTTTGGGGAGAAAGGAGGAGCTGGCTGGCTAACTGTCGCCCGTGGCGGCTGAAGAGGAGGAGGCACTGTCGCCATGGTAACCTGACTGAGAAAAGTTTGAGGTCTGGATGCTGTCTGGCTGCCGCTGCGACTGAGGTCATCTGTGTTTGACGAGTCACCTCCATTGTTCAACACCTGAACCTTGAACAAGCTGTTGTGGGACGCAGAAGAGGATATGTAGAGAATAGAGAATTTAAAACAGACGAAGGTAGAATGAGACGGGGGAAACTACTGTCGCTGCTGCAAGCTTGGAGGCTTATTTGAAGAAGGCCAGGCATTTGGCCTCTGGCAACAAGGCTAACATGGGGGATGGTTTAGCATCTTTTCATGGTCTTATCAGCGGATGTAAAAATCAAGCCTTTTCAGGATCCACTGTAGCACCATTTTAACTAAGTGTGTTGTGGATTCCAGCAATTTGAGGGATTAAAGAGGGAATCAGCACTATTTTACATTTCTCGGCAAGAAAAAATTTAAATATGGCTTTTATATAGTAAATAACACTAATCTTGCTCATTTTAGATTTTTTTTAAATTATATTCTGCATCTGCCTCCAGAAGAGAAAGAAATCTGGTTGCCCTGCTTTTTATAGCCTTAAATTCTGTGCACACACTCATGTAAATGTTATCTTGTTGAATAACTGACACTTGCCTTCTTCGTAGAGATGGGCTTTCGCTGCGCCCCAGAGACAAACACCTCTGCCTGATGGCCACATGACCAGAGTCCTGTGGGGTTTCACCTCCACCACTGCCACTCTGACAGGCACCCTGAGAGTAATCCCTGAAACCTTCACCTCCCCAAAGGCCACCACATCTGCTGGTGCTGTCGCTGCCACCCTGAGTTTCAATCTCTTTCTCGTCATTGTTATAACTATAAGGACTGATTTTCGATGGTAAGACCTTGAGGCCAGCAGATCCTTTATAGGGAGGCATGAATGTTTTGGGTTGCTGGGAGAAACCTGTGAGTAAAAAGAGGGAGAGTTTCATCAAATCAAGTTGCTAGTAGCTGTAAGTGGTGCATCTAAAAATCAAGGTTGTCTATTTTGCTTGCTGATGAAAATAATTTCCAGCAGCAGATTAACGATTCCAGTCATACTAATGACTATGAGAATATATCATAAGGCCCAGATTCTTGTCAAAGAAAATTGAGAACGCTTTCAAGCCTATTCAAGCTATCGTGTCAGTGAGTCATACAGTTAAATTTAGTAGAGCTTCAATAGGCCAGATACTAAGCAGTTTACTCAAGTCAAGTGAAAAGGAATTCACCCTAATCCAGAGCACAACATACTGTATAGGGTAGAGAGAGACTCTGCTTCCTCTTGCATATCCTGAGTGGCTGGAATCTGAGACAGAGATGGAGGCACTTCCAGCTGCCATGGACCGTCCTCCTGGTGCAGTGGCTTTCTGTCAAATACAATCCATGGGGACAAACATTCATTCAGCTAAGAGAAGAACAAGAGAGAGGGATGTTATGGGGCCTCTCTTGGTACTCACACTTTATGGACAATGGGTTTCTCAAAAAACAGATTGTCCAGGGACATGGTGAAGTCCTCCGAATCCAACATCTCATCAGATCATGTAGGCACTCACACTTTTGAATGCAAACCCGAGCAAGCTCAATCGGTCACTACAGATCTTGGCTGGGGACATCCGGCTTAAAGTAAAAAACAAACCAGAGACTCTTACGTGGATGCAAAAATGAACCAATAAATATATTTGTAGCTATGTAAATTTACAATTGAACTATAACTGATCATAACAGATAACTACTACAATATATGGCTTTTGTGAAGATTTGTTTTTCATGACATCCTTGGATGAAAATGATGTCAAACTCAAGCAGGATATTTTTATATAGTTAGCATACACTGCTGATTTACCTTTGAATAAAATGTGCACTGATTTAAAAGAACTGAATGCTCTCTGAGTGATGCAGTAAGTATGTGATAGTAGAATAATAAACCAGTGATTAACTAATTATTATTATTATTAATGCTCGGGTTGAAGCAGTGAAGCTACCTGGCGTTGCTAGCTTTAGCTACCGGGATAGTTTTTCGTCAACGTTCACATTTTGTCATTAATAAAGTTAACTGTAGTTTTCTGTTCCGTTGTGAACCCACCTGTGATAATCGATATATTTACTCCGTTAGACAGGTGATGAAACTTGTTTGAGTCAGTTTAACCTTTGACCCCACATCTGATATTTCTGTTAGCGCCTCGTTGTGATGTTCGCACGAGGCCCAACCAGCACTGTAACAACTTTATTAACACGTTTTCATCCAGACGGACAATTCTACTGCCAGACTACAATATTAGCCTGTGGGTTACATATTATTATCATCAAAACTAGAAGGCCAGGGGTTTACTGTGGGATTATTATTATTTATTTTTTAGAGTATGTGTCAAAATCACGACGTGTTTCCTCTTTTAAACACACGAGAGGTGGAATAACAATAGCTGAAGCGGCTAATCGTCGGCTACGAAAGCAACAAAGACCTGAGAAGACAACCATGGGGGCACAGTGGTAACATCTCTCTTGGCATTCAATTCTTGTCTGTGCGTCTATGGCAACTTTAAATAGCTAAACCAAATGTGCTATTTAAAAAAAAAAAAACAACAAAGCAAATAATAACTGAAGTTTAAATTGATGTTATCAATTAATACGGTGATTAACCGCCATCAAGCTACAAATAAAATCTGCTACCCAAAGGAGATGGTCATTAACTCAGGTCTTTTATTCCTCCTATTTGGAATGAACCATTGCAAATCTTTCGGGGGAACATGGCGCCGACTCGTAACATTACGTGACGAAATTATACGAGACAATAACTTGAGTAAGTGTTTAACTACAGTTGCTTTATTATATAGTAACATAATCAAACGTAATTATTGGAGAATGTCTTTGTTCTGTTGCGGTTTAGCCATTTTTATGTACGGTTACCCTTACAAAGGAAATGATATGTCCCACACCAGTCCACCACGGAAAATGGCGACTGTGAAATAGATGGAAGACGAAAGTAAGAAATTATTCAATGCAGCGTATAAACTGTGTCCTGTCTGCATCCGCACCGCTCGGAGGTAATGTCTGTTTGTTTTTCATCATTTTATTGATATCTGTATAGTGAGTAGCGAGGAACGATTGTCATTAGCTCTAGTTTAGGAATAGGTTTTGGTATGGAACAGCCTTAATGGATTGGTCTGCAGCTCCTGCAAGCAGCATCCAACAACACAGCGTGATTAAACGCCAAAGAAAAGCAACGATACCCTTAACGGAACATAGTATAAATAATACAATCTGATGTGTATGTAGGGTACCTTTGGAAACCCATCGCAACTATAGTGGGATGGCATATAACTGAACTACTATGCTGAAAGTTTTAGCTCTATACAAAATCCACAACCGCTCATCAAAAGCCATTTGCGAGGTCCATCTCTGTGCAGTTTTGGTGCTACTGTGTGGATATTATAAACACCTTGCTCTGCCCCAGGAGCATTTACTAGATATGACACTTTTATTGCCCTTCAAATCCAAGACCTCTCACTCCGGCGACCTTGTAGTGTTATAAATGGCCACAATTAATCATCTAAGCGAAGTGTCAAGTACATTTTGCTATATTTACTTTGTAGTCAATGGATTCTGATTGAGTCAGGAAGCTAACTGTGGTGACATTGTAAGTAACTAAAATGTTTACTTTTCACAGCAAACAAGCACATTCTTACAAGCAAGAACTACCCATTGCAAACTGTAGCTCGTAAAACATACATAATATTCAATATTGGACTCTATAATCAAATGTCACTGTGTTACGCTTTTGACATTTGATAATACATGCTAAAAGCTGCAAATAATTATCATCCTAACCAGATGCTTAAACTATTTTAACTATAACTGATTTACATTTGCATTCAGGACTGATTCTTTTCATTATTCATTTAGTCTGCTTATTATCTTCTCAATTCATTTCTTGGTTGATAAAATGTCAGAGAGTACACAATTCTTTCGCAAGAGACACACGAGAACATAAAATTTCCTTAAACCCAAAGTGACGTTTTCAAATGACTGATTTTGTCCGTCAAAAAGGCCCCTAAACATCTTCAGTTTTATGTCACATAAGACAAAGAAAAGCAGCAAAACAATACATAAAAAAATATCAAAATAGTTAAAAATAGCAAATTATTTTTCTGTTAATCGACTAATCGTTTTAGCTTATTTGTATTTTAAAGTTGACTAACCTTTTTAAGCCATAGTGGCAGCCTCTAGTGGCAGCAATGCTCATCACACCCTGTGGACAAACAATTTATGGACGATTTTGCTGTTCTGAAAGGTCCAGTGTTATTTACATACATTTAGATTGATCTTTGGTCAGACATGGAGTATAATATTCATAAGTATGTTTTCATTAGTGTATAATCACCTGAAAATAAGAATTGTTACATTTTCTTTTGTACCTTTTTTAGAATGAACCTTTTTATATCTATTCATGAATATCACCTGAC